TCAATTGGTAAAGTAGGAGAACTAAAATAATTATATAATTAACCTTCAACCTTATAAAACTTATAAAAACCAGTTAAAAGTTATTCACGAATATACTTTTGTTTTATTAAGGGAGGATACTTACCTCATTACCTTCTTTAAGTTTACCTTTGAGCTAGTTTGTTGTTCTCAAATATTTGCTTATGATAAGATCTTCCCAACTTGCACCTTAACTTTTGCCTTAGAAATAGAAGCAACCAGTGCAATTTGCTTTTTAAAGATTGCCATTCAGCTTTTAGTTGCTGAGGACCCCCAGATACACACTTCACTTTACACTCGCATCTATCAAGGATCTCTGCGGGCTGACAACTGCGACCGCCGAGCCTCGAAACCACTTGAAAATCCGCAAAAAAAAAAGGGGGAAAAACGAGGACAGTCTGGTTAGGAGATACCATGCCACCTTATCAGCGACTCCGGCGTGATTTGCATTTGCATTTCGCTGTAGTTGTTTTTGTAGCCGCTGGTTTTTCGGTGGGGCGGATGTCCTTCTTGTCCCTTATGTTGTTGTTGTCGTTTTCCTGTTGGGGTTATGTAGACACACACACACACACACACGTTGCCGAAATACGGATTAAAAGGGATTAAGCATACGCAGCGTATACGAGTAGGCGATGTGGTAGTAGGCAGTCAGTTCGCGGGGGGCAACACATGTTTAAATTATGCTCAAAATTTGTTTAAAGCGAGGTGTTTTGTAGGCCGGGGCCATGTGTTTGTGTTCCTTGGTCGGGTTGGCGTAACTGATAAGCGGGCTAAGTCGTGGCGAGTTTAGGGGGTCTGGGGCACATAGGTAAGCCGTGGGGATAATACGCCGGGTCTTGACTTAAATCGATGCTAATTTTCGGTTTAATTCAATGGTTTTGTTTACATGTGTTGGAACAACACCAGCCGCCCGTGTGTGTGCGTGTGTATGTGTGTGTGTAATGACATTTTGGCTTTTTGTTGCCGCCGTCGCCATGGCTGTGTAAATAATGCCTTTATTATTTTGCTTGATATCCACTCGCAGCAGATAAAAAATGGAATGGCAACACACAAACCACAACAAGCAGCAGGTGTTAAAAATTTCACAATATGATTATCTACAATTTTTTTGCACCCAACGATTCACATTTTTTTCATTATACTTTTGTGCTGCTTTGTCTGACGGTGTGAATTTTTGATGAAATTATGCGTGTACCGAGTTAGGCGTAGCGTAAATAATGCGTACTTATCAGTGGCAAACATTGGCACAGGTTTGAGCCGCACATTAGCAGAGAGCTGTTGGGTGGGAATTGAGGTGCATATGAGTATCTTTCGGATTTGGGTTCACTGCGGTGCTCCTGACTTGTGAAGGGAGCCGGAAAATGTGTCCCTCTTGCCCTAAACATTGAATTTTACTCATTGTTGTGGGATTTTAGGTACTTTAAATATTTGCTGAGATTTTTCATTTACAATTTGGAAAGATATGGTTTAACAATATATTTCTATATGGTATTTACTGATACAGTTTTTATAATACTTATTTACTTAATTATCTACAAAAGTAATAATAATGCAATTTATGTTTATTTAAGAAGAACAAATGCCTTTCATTTTTATTAAGTTGTATAATTTTAATACTTATAGCTAAAATCAGTGGTCACTAGTGAGAATAGGAAAGTGCCTTGTCGGTTTTTATTAAAACAACGAACTTTTCCGCTGTGAAAATCACTTACATATTGTATGTATGGCCATTGGTCAGGTTGAAAAACATTGTATGGCCTTTGTTATTACAAAATATTTTTTATGAAAAGCCTATCTAATTATTGTTTCACGCCTTGACCTAATTGCTTAGTTAATCATATAGTGCAATCCAAGGTTTCTCAGAATTCCTGGCGAAAAGCTCTAATTAGTTTTAAATTATAGAATATTCAATATGTCCAAATTGCACTATGGGTTTCTTTGTTATGTTAATCAAATCCAATTAGTTTACCATGCATAGGCATAATTGGAAGCCCAGTTAATCAATGGACTTATACCCATTCGAGCTTGAGTAACTTTTCCTCGGCAGTCGGTGGGGAAATTACTTGCCATCTATCTCTTGAACTTCGCCCCGGCACAGAGTTACTCCCCGAAATTCATTGAGGTATAATAACAAAGTCAATGAACACCTTGATGACAGTTAACAGAAACCGTAGATTGGCCAAAAGGAAAGTAGCAGCGAACACACACACACACACATCTCGACACAAAATGGCAGAAAAGAAAAGGCAAGAAGATGGCGCAAATTACAGACAAGCTTATTACGCAAAATTTCGCTTAATTAGCAGGCAAAAAGGGAACTGAACAGAGAGGAAATGGAAAGGCGGAAAAGCGGGAAAGTAGGCAACAGTTGCTAACGGACAGAAAGGAAAGTGAAAAGAGACAAAAGGCCGGGGGAAAAAAACTACTTATACTCCCTACACATGGTGGCAGACTTATGGCACCTTTTGCCAGGCAAAGCATAATATATATGAACTGACCTTAACAACTTGCACAGCAAAAAGCAACAACAACGACAACTACAACAACCGTCAAGAGGAAGAAGCAACATGTTAGCCGGGTCAAAACGGGGGGGTGAGTTCATGGGGACGGGGTAAAATTTACTCGGGCAACAGAATATTAAATGCCGCGTGGGAATTCTCGCCGTTTATGGTTGCAGCTGAAATGGGCCAGCCAGGGTGGAAAGAGATGGTACTAGAGTGGCAGAGAGAGATGGCCAGATAGCGAGGAGCGCGGCCAGTTACGCTTCAGTAATTTCACTTAAGTCATTATGAGCCATTAATAAAGCCAGCCTGTGCACTAGTTGAGCCACCACATAATTCAGGCTATATCTATATGTTACATCCCTTCTTGCCGCCTACTCATTTCACACATCAAAAATCAAGCGAGTGGTTCGCCGAATTATAATTATAATCATAATCATAATCCCACCTACATTCATGAAGACTTCAGGGTTTTAATGTGTTAAATACCTTATACCAAATTCCAAAGATAAAACACTTATCATTGAGAAGCAGCATAGTTGGTAGCGCCATTGTTATATCATATCATATCATATCTCCATTAGCACGTTTTTTGGTAATAATAAACGGCTACTCAAAATAACAAAGATACCCCTTTTTTATGCAAAATACATTTTTGAAGCTGTCAGTTTAGTTTAACAGGCTGCCATTTATTCTATCAAAAACTGCAAAAAACCTTTTATCCCAAACTGGTTCCGAAAAAATCTATTACCTTAGCTAGCTGTATTTTTTTTAGCATATAGACCAGACCATCACTGATCGCAAGCAACATGAGCCAGTTACACGTCCTTGATGTATTTCTCTGGCATTTCACTCGCATACAATTTTTATTATTCAGATGCACAGACAAACAAACATATTTGTTGATTCTTTTCCAACTTGTTTGCTGTTTTTTCCTCGGTGTCGTGGGAGGGGATTTTCCAGAAGCGATTTTTGTTTTTCATTGAAGTGCATTTTTATTGCAATTCATCAGCTTCGAAAGCAAAATTCGAGTGCATTGCGATTTGTGTTGTTCGAGAAGTCCGAGGTATTTAATTAATTTGAAAAATAAAATCCACCAGACGAAAATATCATATGGAAGAGATATTTGACCATAAGAGTGCACGCCAATTTTTATTTATTTCCCATTGAAATGCGTATTTCCAAAGAGTCGAGAACTGTTTGATTTTAAATATTTAACTTGATGTTGATGACCTGTAAACGTTTTGCACAAGTGGCAGTCAAGTTAATCTGAATTTAATTAAATTTTCAAGCAACGAACTGATTTAAGCTGAAACTTTTCTTTATTTGGGCATTCCATTTCCTTGCGACTTGGCAGACATCTTAACAGGATTATGAGTTGTTTAAATATGTTTTTCCGATGCCCCATAACTTCTGATACCCACTCTAAGTAATCCGGAATCTCGGTCAATTCATTTCCTATTACTCAAATATTTCTGCCGGCATAAAGTTTTTCTAATTCATCTCATTGCTGGCACTTTCACTTAAGTCGAAAACTTCTAGGATATACATATATTTTTTGTGGCCGCTGTTCAATGAAGTTTTCGACTCACACCCGCAGCTCTAGAAATACTTTTACTTTTACTTTCATAACCAAAAGCCTAACACTCGAGACAACAACAAACACTTCGAAAAAGTTTGAAGCCCACTCTTAAATATTATCTGTGAAGTACAACTCTTAAAGTCCAACTTATACAACTCTTCTAAGGGTGGCTCTTATAAATTGGCTTATACAACTCTTATAGGTATATGAGTTTATGCCCTACCTCTTCTAAAATTTATTCAGCCTGGACAGTAATGCTTATACAGCTCTCATATGTATACTTATACAGCTCTTATAGGCCAGCTTATACAGCTCTTATAGGTATAAGATATAGGGTTGCTCAGTGGCGCCCCTCTTCGAAAATCCATTCAGCTATGAAAATGGGTGCCTTTATAAGAGTGCGTCTGCACAATTAGCAGAGTCACAAACCTCTCTGGCGCCGAAGCAATGGATGCTGTGAGAGAAATAGACGATTACTTTACGAAAGTTTGGCGAAAACGAAGTCGAGTTGTTCTAAAAGATACGAGTGCTGGCTGCAAAAGTCAAAATGGTTTTAGATACCAGGCATATACATAGCTAAATTGCTAAAACGAAAAAAAATAGAGTCCAAAGTTAAAAGTTGCGATTTTATCCACCTAAATACATATGAATTAATGAAATATATTTTATTTAAAAATATAAGACTTTTTTACTTATAAATCACATATTCTGTCTTATATGTCTCACTTAGCGGTGATCTCAACCCATGAAACATATTTTTGCTTCAAATATTTTTGTATAAGTTGGACCCCAACATGTTTTTCAAACCGTCGATGTTCGAGTTCGCCTTAATCTTTTGTGAGCCGCGCTTGGACCTGTCGGCTAAAAGATACAGATACTTTGCGTTTAGTCTTGGTCGGTCTGCGCGTGGTCTATGTTGACAAACATTTCTGTGGCTCCCAGTTGCGTTTTTACCCGATCGAAGTTATTGCGCCGAAACATATACAAATATTCGAAACAAAATAAATATATGACAAATATTTATTAAATCTTAGACAGTTCGTACACACTGTTAGTGATAAATAAGTGCAACGAAAATGTTCTGCAAAATGCCTTGCAAAGTGCGGCCAAGCCTTGAATTGGCTGAGGCTTGTTATTAACCCGAAAGATACAAAACATAAGCCCAAACTGTAAACAAGTTAAAGTGAGTGAGTGAGTGTGTCGCAATCTTACAACAAATTCCAACAATCGAGCAACCTACAAGATGCAGTTTTGGATAACTCTGACATTTGCCGTGCTCTTGGGTGAGTTATCTATTGCTGGTAAAAATTGAAAACATATGAACCGCCGAATGTAGCTCATAGATGACCGCTTGCATAAATGTCTGCGGCAAAAGTTCATGACATTTTCGCCCGGGCAATCGCAAACAAAAAAAAAGAAGCCCCGACTCTCGGTGGCAGTCGTATCTTTCCATATGAATTGTGGCTTGGAGGATCCGGGGACTGGGCTTTCAAAGGGGGAAGGGGACCCTATGTCTAGATACTCCTTTGTCTGCTTGCTTTTCGTTTTTCCAGCGATTTTTAGTTTGGTTGACATTTAAACACTTGTTTTTTCGTTTCCCCAGTCAACGGCGTCTGTGGCGGCTGCTGCTGTGGTTTTTGCCTCACAACAAATAGATATAGAGAATAATTTTGTAGCCACAGCCAAGTGTTGCTTTAACACACAGGTCACCAGCACCCCCAATCCCTCCTCCGACCAACTACCCACCCTTTACATGCAAAAAGTTTTTCGTATAAATTTTTTCACAGTTTCAGTTATTTTCCTCAACAATTTCTGCAGCCTCAACTTTTATTTTTTCCGCCTGCTTCGGCTGCTGTTTATTTGATTTATGCGACATAATTCAGGCGAACTTTGTGGCACACATAATTTAATTTTTGCCATCACTTCGAAGAGGGAGGGAAGTTGCAGAATGGAAAGGTGAGGGGACCGACACTTTAACTGACAACCATTGTTGCCATTCGTTCCCGTGCACTTTTTAATTATTTTTTCCACCACTCTTGTGATGACAAAGTTGGCGCTTTTGTCCCGCATAGTTTTAGTTTTATTGTCGGTATTTGTTCATCTGTTAATTGAAAACTATTTGACTATCAAATTTGTATGGCGTTAAAAGTTCCTTTTTTAAATTCGTGTATAAGTCGAGTGCTAATTGTTGACTCTTAAGAGGTGGTGTTGCATCCAAAGGCCGCTTGTAGCACCTATCATCTATCTGTATCTGTATCAACACGATTCTTTTGTTTGGTCTTCCTAATGCTACATGACGAATTTATTAGTGGGCATTGAAAATAGTTGATTAGCGTGCTGTCAAATCGGGATGAACAAGACTGAAGCTTGAATCATTATTTTATGAAATGAAAATAAACTGTTAAAATGTTCGATTTGTTTTTATTTAAAATATTTACGTTGAAATTATTTTTTTAATGATAAAACATTGCATAACAAACTTAAGCAAATTTTTGCCATATATGTTCAGGTAAATGGGTTCGTAAGCAAGTGCGAAGCTTAAAGGCGAGCTCACATTTGTTGTCATCCTTTATATTTAGGCATGGTTTTGCACTGTCAAGTCCCGGTAATTCGATCTTGTCATTGACAATTACCTTTTCATTTACAAAGTGACAATAATAATAACACTTAACTTTATAGTCGGGTGGATTTATTTTTAAGACGTCTGGAGTCACATGGTTCTTTTTCGCACATTCTTCTAGTGATTTTTGCTATTTCAATGCAGTTTATTTATATTATTATAAATAAAAAAAAATCATAGTGTTACTTACGATAGCATCAGAATAAACGAATAGAGGGCCGATGGCCAGCAACAGTACCAAGGCAACCAACGCGTTCATTTCGGAGACTAATTCTGGCCAGAGTATTAAAGGCCATTTTTATATGTTTTTCCTGCGCGACTTCTCGAATAAGTTTTTTAAATTAATGATGATTTCGTGCTTTAATTTTAATTTTTTGACATTTAAGTTTTACTGTTTTTAGCAGTGAATGACAACAAATTATAAATCTTTACTCATCCGTCTTAGCATTATTAATATGTTTAAATATTAAGCAATGCATTGAGTAAAATCAAAGATCAACTAAGCTTAGTTATTCCTAATGCTAAATGACGAATTTATTAGTGGGCATTGCACGACTTCTCGAATAAGTTTTGTTAAATTAATGATGATTTCGTGCTTAAATTAGATGTATTATATGTATATGATAGCTAACAGGAAGAAACTTATCTCTCAGAGTTTTTAAACATTATTTGCATTTATTTTGTATATGATAGCCAAACTAACATAGCTGCTGTTGACTTATTTATTGCGTAGAAAATTCTCAACTTGACCATCGGTAATGTTCCGTTTTAGGCACTTGAACAACTTATAAGCGAGTTCACATTCGTTGTCATCCTTGAGATCAAGGCACTTCCTTGTTCTTTGAGAGCCGGCTATTTTCCGGACACTATGTGATCGTTTTTTATTGGAAGAATCTGGTTGGATGATCTTTCCATTTTTAATCACATCAGTCTGTTCGAAATAGCACAGATAAAAGCACTTGATTGACTCGTCGGAATCATTATTCAACATTTCTTCGGTCACATCTTCCAGTTCTGCGCAGAATTTCCATTCGCCCTCCTATTGGAAATATTTCATTAGTAGATATTAGTGGACCCACTTATTAAGGAATAAGAATCCATCTGTTACTTACAAGTTTGGAATAAACCAAAAGAGGACCAATGGCCAGCGAGAGAAGTATGGTTACCAAAGCGTTCATTTCGGAGACTTATTCTGGCCAGAGTATTAAAGGCCATTTTTATATGTTTTTTCTGCACGACTTCTCAAATAAGTTTTGTTAAATTAATGATGATTTCGTGCTTAAATTTTAATTTTTTGACATTAAAGTTTTACTATTTGTAGCAGTGAATGACAATAAATTATAAATCTTTACTCATCCTTCTTAGCATTATTAATATATTTAAACAGTAAGCAATGCATTGAGTGAAATCAAAGATCAACTAAGCTTAGTTATTCCAAATGCTGCATGGCTAATATATTAGTAGGCATTGCAAATTTTTGACTATAGTGTTGTGAAATAGATTAGGAGACGAGTGAGCAGAGCTAAAGCTAAAGCTAACACCAGAAATCATTTGAAAATTGCTCTTGAATGTGCGATAATGTGGCTTAAAAGTCCAGCTAACAATTTATGCGCTTAAATTGCCATAATTCCTGGAAATAAATGTAAATCGCATGTTATTCATATTTGTGTACAATAAATGTAGTGAGATTTCCGAGAACTAAGACACTTACCATTTAAATTGAATTACGAATAAGGAAAGAAGCGCCACAAAAAGGAGAGGAAGCGAATGAGGTCCCTGACAGGTTAGCAATATCATTACACGACTCGGCCAGACTTCCCTGTGGCATTAGCACCTGCCCTTTGCTATATACACACAAAATACAAGATACATATGTGTATGGAGAGGCTCCGTGGTTCGCACGCGTCGAAAATTAATACAAGCCAAGCTGCAAAAGGCAAAAACCGCCAAGAAACCGCTGGCCAGAAGGCAAAAAAAGAAGTAATATAAAGGGAAGCGAAGTTGGCAAGCTGCTAAAAGATGAAATACACCTGCTCGGGCACACTCCAAAAATTTTCATTCAGTCTATATGTCTATGTGTAGCATGGAGCAAACCTACAAAATTAGTTTTATGCCCGCACATATCCACACACTTTTTTCTCTTGTTTTCGCCTCTCTTTTTTGTGGCACAACTAGAAAATTGAGGATGTGGTTTTAGGTGCCAGAGGAGAGTGGAATTCACAAATCTCTTTTACCCACATGGAGAGCTCGTCGTTGCATAGATATCCGTCCATATGTACTGTCAGCTTTATAATCAGCAGACGATTTACGTAGGCAAATTGAATTAAGGCTGCAAAAACCTCGGCAAACAGAGTGGACTTAAAACCCGATTTGGCCTAATGCCGCTGCTAAAATGTGTTAGCACACAACTAACTTTTCAGCATAAATCCTTCACGTCGGCCGTTGGTACAGTGCATTGAACCAGCGGCTTAAACCCAAGCTAATCGGTTGCCCAACTACGACCACTCGGCAAGTAAGCCACTTGCTCTGATTAAAAGCAGCAAAAAAAACCAGCAGAAAGGAGTTAAAAAATGAGTGCAAATTATATGACGAACGGGTTATGGGGTTGCGTACAAGAGCTCTAAGCCATAAAGAGCAAATGATGTTGGTACTAGCACTAGCCTACATAAGGCAGCTCTTCAAGTTGCTAACTGACCGCATTTGGTTCTGGCCACAGAACAGAAAGCCGATGAGATGTATGTGCTCCATTTGGACGAAATCCAATTCTGTCTATCCTTAAGCCCGAGTGCTCACCTCATTACGGAGGCTTCCCTTTTCAAAGTTTACCACTTCTTCACAGGGCCAGAAAATTGAATATCTGCACATTAAAGAAAAACAAGATAAAACTTATCTTTCTGAGATTTAAAACATTTTTAGCATTTTTTTTTTGTATATCATAGCTAACAGGAAAAAATGTAGTTTTAAAAAATTTGTAACATTTTATTTTGTATATGATAGCTAATCTAACATAGCTGCTGTTGACTCATTTATTGTAGGTAGAAAATTCTCAACTTGATTATCGATAATGTTCCGTTGTAGGCACTTGAAAAACTTATAACCGAGTTCACATTCGTTGTCATCCTTTAGATCAAGGCACTTCCTTGTTCTTTGAAAGCCGGCTATTCCCCAGACACTTCGAGATATTTTTTTATTGGAAGGATCTGGTTGGATGATCTTGCCGTTTTTAATCACATGAGTCTGTTCGAAATGGCAAAGATAAAAACACTTGACTTTATAATCGTCGGAATCATTATCCAACATTTCTTCGGTCACACCTTCCTGTTCTGCGCAGAACTGCAATTCGGCCTCCTATTGGAAATGTATCATTAGTAGGTATTAGTGGACCCACTTATTAAGGAATAAGAAGCCATCTGTTACTTACAAGTTCGGAATAAACCAAAAGAGGACCAATGGCCAGCGAGAGAAGTATCGTTACCAAAGCGTTCATTTTGGATACTGTTTCTGATCGGTGTTTTGCGGGCAGCTTTTAAAGGTTTTCTGGTCGGACTTTTGTTCGTAATTGAAATTTTTTATCTATCTCTATATTTAGTTTTTTTATCTTGTGTTTACAATTTACTATTTAATTATAGCTAATAATTAGTTAGGCAATTTTGCAGTAACAGTAAATTATGGATCTTTGCCCTCGCAGCTGCTATTAAAATATTTTATAGAACGACTATAGTTCCATTTTTATTAGTATATTTTTGAAAATACTGAACCAACATTTTGATTTTAATTGTAATAACCTGTGGAGGTTTATATGTCAGAGCCTCAATAGATTGAAATATGTGCATAGTGCTCTTAGTTTGAGCTTTTTGTTGCCTGTGCGTGACGTACTCTTCATCTAATCATCCAATGCAGCTTACAAAAAGGTGAGTTTTAGCCACCTCATGCCTGCAACTTTTTCCCAAGAAAATAGCATTCCTTGCCGGGATATATACATATATTTATATCCATCAGCCTGCATCTGCATCGGAAAGTGCCGCATAATTACAACCCCCGGTCGTACCTTCTCATTTGTGAACAGCTCTTGCCATCTCGGACTTTGTCCCTGGATTTCCTTTCCCCCTTGGCTTGATCACAAAGTTGCGACCCCAAACACAAAATGCTGGTCATTTGTTTTTATGTAAATACAAAATGTGCTGCCATCTTGCTGTTGTTAAGTTGGCTTATGCACATTTCCCGCTTCCCAACAACAAAAAACATGAGAAGAAAAACCATACTCCATAAGCTGGATTCTTCCTGAAGCAGTATTTATTTTTCGGTTGGTGTAAACATTTCTATTTGGGCTGGCAGTTTTTGGTCAAAAGCGCAAAACATGTTTCTTATTATTTTTTGTGCAAATTCACTTCCGCCAGAAAACCGAAAATGAGCAACGAAAAGCAGCAGAAAATTGCTCACAACTTCTTTTCTTCTACGCTGGCAGCTGTATCACATTTTCTTTTGTGCAGTAAAAATAAATAACAGTTTATGAAAATTTGCCAAAAAGTATCAGCGGCCAAGAACGAGAACAAAGTGGAGTGGCTTTTCCTGTTTTGCCATTGTAAACGAAAAAGAAGCTAAAAAGCTGCCCATTTAAAAGGCGTTGACACTCCCCGCCAATTCGTTCTCTCACCCGCTTGAAATTTGTGCTAACGAGTTGTCGTTGTTTGCTTTCCTCAACTGAAGAGCCGGGTCTTCAATAGGCCCATGTGATGAGGCCGGGCCCAAAGCCCCCCCCTCCGCATCCCCCCCTCCCGATGTCTTTGTGCTAAATTGAACCAATTTTTTTGCTCTTCCTCTGGGTTTTTTTCCTATGTTTTTTTGTTTTCTACAAACATATTCTGTTTTTATGCTATTTTTTTTTTATTTCAGTACTTTGCACGTCAAGTGAGTGAAAACTCAGCGCTGGAGAATGCGATTTCCTAGCATGAGTGTGAATGCGAATGCGCTTTCAAAGCTCGGCTGCTGTCTATTCATGCGTGCCACACATCGGGCATGGTTTTTGGGTGGTGCGGTGGTTTTCAGGGTGGTGCGATGGTGGCTCGGTGTTGTTGCAGAGCCCCTCGAATCCAACATGTGTATCTACACACACTTATGGAACACCAAGCGACTTTCTGAGGATGAGCAACGACATGAAATTGATATTGCTGTACTTTATGTTTATGTCGCATCATAATCGTTGCTTATCATAGCTAATTCTGATTTTAAGGCCAATTGTGATTAGACGATATGTTACTTTGGCAGAAGCCAAATAATTTTATTAGTTGCTCTCCTTTAAATGTATGGGTTAAACAACAAAAAAAAGTTAACTGATCAATATCATAAGAAGAAATAAACACCAGTAACGCGCACTAAACACACAAATAGCTTATAGGCAAGTTCGCATTTGTCGTCTTCCACAATGGTCCAACATTTTTCGTTATACTTATTCTTAACCAGTTCCCTCGGAAGTTCCGCATCTGAAGGATCACCTGGGACGATTTTGCCATTGACAATTAATTTCTTTTCAAGATCGCCTAGTAAATGGCACTTTAAAGGTTTATCCTGTACTTTCCTAAGCGCGTCAAGCAAGCGTTCTTCATATTGTTTCGGTTGAGCCTGTTGAAATTGGTCAACAAAGACACATGTTTATTAAAATTTATTAAAATTTTAGGTCAGGTTAAAGCTTAAGACTACCTTCAATTTCGAAAGCGACAAACATTTTTTTTATAAAAAGTTATTATTAGTCGTATAGAATTTTAGTTTTGTGTCATGATTTAAATGCAGTTTTCGGTTGCAAGCAAAACTGCCAAACAATTACGGATAAGGGGCTGCAGCCCCTTAAATGTAATCTTGAAAGCATTTCATGAGCTTGTAGCCGAGTTCACATTTGTTGTCATCCTTAAGTTCCAGGCATTTCGACCTATCTATTCCATCCAACGATAACTGAGAGGGGACGATCTTGCCATTGGCAATGAAATTGCCCAATTCCAAAATGCAATGGAAATAACACTTAAATTCATCATTGCTGTCACTAATACCAGCTAGCTCTCTAATCGCTTCTTGCCTTGTTGTGCAGTTTTTAAGATGAGGATCCTGTTGAAAGTCGACACAGTTTTTAGCTGTGTATTTAAAAATTTTTGGGTAAGGAAACCACCTACTACTACTTACTAGTTCCCCATTGGGTATAGCACCAATACCAACGGACAGCAGGAGAACCAGAGCAACTGCAACGTTCATTTTGAAGACTGATTCTGTTCAATGTACTGGAGACATTTTTAAAGGGATTCTGGCACAACTTCACGCATAAGTTTTAAACATTATAAGTGTAATAGGCCCTTAAAGGCATTTTAACAGCTTTAAGCACAGTTTACACATTACATTTTTAAACCCGTTACTTGTTATGCAAATCTTTAACTGTTAAAATAGAGTTAATACATCTACAAAATATGAAAATTGACGTTTTAGGCACTCCCCCCATTTGCGCAATTTTATATATTATTATATATACATAAAAAACTAACTACATAGTTTGTAACACTTCATTGTAAGAAAAAAAAAACAGATCCACTTACGATAACAGGAGTTAATAGAGAACCAACGGCCCCCAGGATAGCCAAAGTAAGCAATACTTTCATCTTGAAGTTGTACTGATTAGTGATACTGATCGGAGTATTACGGAAAGTTTTTATACTTTGTTTTTGCACGACTTCTCGCATGAGTTTTAATAATTATAATCTAATTTCCGGTTTCCACATTACATTTCGTGTTCTAAACTAAGTTTACTGGATTTATAATATTTTCCAGTAATTTTTTTCATTTCAATTTTATCCATCCCCTTAACTATAATATAAGAAATATAATATAATAAAGTTATTTTACACCATATAAATATTTTAAATACAAATTTTTATTCTCTTAGCTATCCTATACCAATTTTTTTGGCAAGAATATAGACAAAACTTTTAAAAAACTTGGCACTATGACTTTACACAGACTTTATCTTTGGCTTAGTTTAGTATATATGAACTGCTTTATCATGTAAATTTAAGCATTTATATAGCTTGTAGCCGAGTTCACATCTGTTGTCATCCTTCAAATCCATACACAACTTCATCCTTTCGATGAGTCCTGATGGTATATTCTTTGTTGAAAGATCAGGTTTGACGATCTTACCATTGACAATGAGTTTGGTATTTTCCAAACTGCAGTAGTGCAAGCACTTATATGTAGAATTGGTGCCACCCTTATTATTAATCTCTTTAAGGGCTTCTGCCCTTGTTGTGCAATTTTGAATCACCTTTTCATAAGAACTGGATAATTTATGGTCGAGATAATGTTACTGGTACTTACGATATTAAAACAATCCATAGGACCAATGGCCAGTGGAAAAACCAAGGCAACCAATACCTTCATTTTTATATCCGTTACTCGTAGAGTAAAAGGGTATATTGTATTCGTGCAAAAGTATGTAACAGCTAGAAGGAAGCGTTTCCGACCCTATAAAGTATATATATTCTTGATCAGGGTCACTAGCCGAGTCGATATAGCCATGTCCGTCTGTCCGTCTGTCCGTCTGTCTGTCCGTCTGTCTGTCTGTCCGTATGAACGCTGAGATCTCGGAAACTATAAAAGCTAGACGATTGGCATTTTGCATGCGGATTCTAGGAGTTCCTACGCAGCGCAAGTTTGTTTAAAAAAGGTGCCATGCCCCCTTTAACGCCCACAATCGCTTATATACGATTTTAAAAATTTAAATATTTCGGAAAAGTAAAAATGCAGTTTTATTGTGTTTATCAATACCTATCGAAATGTAGAAGAAATTTTTCAAATCGGACCATTCCTTAAAAAGTTATGCGTGATCAAAGTTTCTATCTCCATCTCCCTCGCACTCCCTTTACCTGAGTAACGGGTATCTGATAGTCGGGGCACCCGACTATAGCGTTCTCTCTTGTTAGACTGAATCAGTTCGGTGTATCGAGGGTAGTTTTAAAAGATTTCTGGCACAACTTCACGCTTCAATTTCCAGCATTATTGCCTGTTGAATTATAATTTTCTGGCCTTACCACAGAGAACTAGGAATCTAATACTAATATTAATGCCTTGCTTTTTTTTTTAATTATCACACCCCCAAAAAAATTATAGACCTTTACTTATTATGGTTCTAGAGAACATGGTCTCTGTAGCATACTCAATTTATTAAAATCAAGTTCGGCATTTTTTACAAATCTGGAAGGTGCCTTTTTAAGCAGGTGAATACCTTATAGCCGAGTTCACATTTGTTGGGATCCGAAATTGTCAGACATGGCTTAATCTTAATACCTATATGCTCATGCTTATAGAGATTCAGTGTTATGTTAAGTACGGACAAATTGAAATCGCCGACCACGCCATTGACAATTACTTCGAGCCTTTCCAATTCACAAGCATAGAAGCACTTGACCCTAGTACTGGTGGGAAAATTTTCCAAATAATGTTGGGTTATCCCGCCCCTTTTTGCGCAATCATTTCTTTCTGGGTTCTATTGGAAATCATTATAATTAGTTATATTTGTGGGTGAGAAAACAAAAACACTGCTACTTACGATTATATGAGAGAATAAGGGACCGACGGTCAGCAGGAAAACCAAACCAGCCAATACTTTCATCTTGAGTTCTGATACTGATCAGAGTATTACAGAACTCTTTTATACTTTATTTTGGCAAGACTTCCCGCATAATTATCCAAGGTGATTAGCTGTTTTACGCTTCAATTTCCAGCATTATTGCCTGTCGAATTATAATTTTCTGGCCTTACCACAAAAATTAAATTATCCCCGTTTTTTAATTTTTGATTGATTAATGGCCTAGCATACCCCTCCAAATGATGAATTTTTAAGCATCCCTTAGAATGTCAATAGGCTATAGACTATAGACACACCTTTTACTTTAAGAGTCATTTGAATATATTAAATAACCAATTTTTATACCCTTGCATTATTTTTAGTCAACGCAGTGAAGGAGACATTTCCGACCCTATAAAGTATATATGTTCTTGATCAGCATCACCAGAAAAGTCGATCTAGCCATGTCCGTCTGTCCGTCCGTTTCTACGCAAACTAGTCTCTCACTTTTAAAGCTATCTGCTTGAAACTTTCCCAGAAGTTGTTTTTCTATTGCAGGTATAATATAAGTTGGGACGATCCGGATCGGGCGACTAAATCATATAGCTCCCATAGAAACAATCGGAAAAAAAATTCAACAAAATTATAACTTTGTTGTTTTTAATTTGTTGTTTTTGTTCGTTGGGATTCGGTAATATTTAAATATTATGGAATTACGGTTTTAATTAAATTAAAATCCGACAACAATATCATATAGCTGCCATAGAAAAGATGTCAAAATGCAGCGCAAAATCGACATGGCTTCATTGTTTTGAGTAATATATGGACCCACCTATAAAAACTATATTTATTAATTTATTGTTTTTGTTTCGAATATTAATTTTCTGATAATATTACTGTACATTAATTTAGCTTACTGTTTTTTTATTATCACACCCCCAAATAATTATAAACCTTTACTTATTGTGCAAATGGTACTAGAGAACATGGTCTCTGTAGCATACTCAATTTATTAAAATCAAGTTCGGCATTTTTTACAAATCTGGAAGGTGCCTTTTTAAGCAGGCGAATACCTTATAGCCGAGTTCACATTTGTTGGGATCCGAAATTGTCAGACATGGCTTAATCTTTATACCTATATGCTCATGCTCATAGAGATTCAGGGTTATGTTAAGTACGGACAAATTGAAATCGCCGACCACGCCATTGACAATTACTTCGAGCCTTTCCAATTCACAAGCATAGAAGCACTTGACCCTAGTACTGGTGGGATAATCTTTCAAATATTGTGGGGTTATCCCGCCCCTTTTTGCGCAATCATTTCTTTCTGGGTTCTATTGGAAATCATTATAATTAGTTATATTTGAGGGTGAGAAAACAAAAACACTGCTACTTACGATTATAAGAGAGAACAGGGGACCGACGGTCAGCAGAAAAACCAAACCAGCCAATACTTTCATCTTGAGTTCTGATACTGATCAGAGTATTACAGAACTCTTTTATACTTTATTTTGGCAAGACTTCCCGCATAAGTATCCAAGATGATTAGCTGTTTTACGCTTCAATTTCCAGCATTATTGCCTGTCGAATTATAATTTTCTGGGCTTACGACAGAGAATTAGGAATCTAACTTAAAATATATTATAGAAATATAATGAAAATATAAAAACAATATTTATTTATTAATTGTTTTTGTTTCGAATATTTTTTTCTGATAATATTACTGCCTTACTTTTTTTTTAATTATCACACCCCCAAAAAAATGATAGACCTTTACTTATTATGCAAATGGTTCTAGAGAACATGGTCTCTGTAGCATACTCAATTTATTAAAATCAAGTTCGGCATTTTTTACAAATCTGGAAGGTGCCTTTTTAAGCAAGTGAATACCTTATAGCCGAGTTCACATTTGTTGGGATCCGAAATTGTCAGACATGGCTTAATCTTTATACCTATATGCTCATGCTCATAGAGATTCAGGGTTATGTTAAGTACGGACAAATTGAAATCGCCGACAACGCCATTGACAATTACTTCGAGCCTTTCCAATTCACAAGCATAGAAGCACTTGACCCTAGTACTGGTGGGAAAATTTTCCAAATAATGTTGGGTTATCCCGCCCCTTTTTGCGCAATCATTTCTTTCTGGGTTCTATTGGAAATCATTATAATTAGTTATATTTGTGGGTGCGAAAACAAAAACACTGCTACTTACGATTATATGAGAGAACAGGGGACCGACGGTCAGCAGGAAAACCAAACCAGTCAATACTTTCATCTTGAGCTCTGATACTGATCAGAGTAATACAGAACTCTTTTATACTTTATTTTGGCAAGACTTCCCGCATAAGTATCCAAGATGATTAGCTGTTTTACAATTTCGTGTTCAAAATTAAATTATCTCCCTTTTTTTAATTTTTGAGTGATTAATGGCCTAGCATACCCCTCCAAATTATGCATTTTTAAGCATACCTTAGAATGAAGAATACTTTTGTAAGAGTCATTCGAATATATTATATATCCAATATAGTTGTATTAAATAGTACTGATATTTTGTCACCGTGTACCGTATAGTCTTTTCATCTGCAATTTACCATATCTCATAGCCAGCACGAGCTCATCGCACTTGGCTTGGCTCAGAGCAACATGTTTGGAAGTGGGTGTGCGTGAGGTGTCAGTGGCACCTACCACGACGACGACGACGTCTGGTACAAGTTGATACTCCTACATCACCGCCAAGACCCCGCCCCCTTGCCAACCAGTCTTGGCCAAGAGAGGATGGAGCTGGGGACTGGGATTGGGATTGGGATTGGGAAGGGGTCGTGGATGCAGATGCAGATGGAGCTGAGGCTGCGGTGTCTGGGCCTGCTGGCTGTTTTCTGTTTTCCGCTGGCGGTGGTGTAGGGGGTGGTGCAGGGGGTGGTGCAGGGGGTGGTGCAGAGGGGGGGTGGTTCAGAGGGTGGATGTGGATGCTGCCGGGTTTCCATTGCATTTTCGGTCATTATTCAACGTCATTGCAGTTTGCTGCTGCGGTGGCAGCTTCAATGATGCATAATTTGTAGCGTTATATAAATGCAAACTGTGTTGATATTTTTTATGCTAATTGCATGCAAGTAAAACTTACACACACACACACACACACAGTCAGCTCTCTGTAATTACATGAGCCGGGGTGAAAAAAGAAAGTTGACAGTTAGGTGGCGTCAACGGCAGCGGCAGGTACCAAACAAGTTGCAACTGCAACATCAAGAGCAGCAACAGCAACAGCGATTGTTGTCGCTCCTTATGACGCGACAGTAACGAGCAAACAAATATACAAACATATGTAGTATATGTTTGCAAAATACAGCAGTACAGTTAGGTGTTCGTATCTGATATATGCAATTATGCATGACGCGTTCTCTCAGATCGCGAAAAAATACAGTCGCTGCGGGGCAGGTCTAAAAAAAATATTGGGTTAAAGATGTGTAACGTGCGAAGTTGGTAAATTAAAGGTTTTTTTTGTCTTTGAAACCGTATAGAGATAACTGGGCCTTGAGAGCGATGGTATCTGTTGAAAAAGCATTCTATAATTGGCTTTTTATCCTTAACTATTAATTAAGATACATCAACTATAAAGTATCCATAACTATAGATAACTATTTAGCTCCTCTAATGCATCCAAAGCAACCTATTTAGAGTGATTGCCCATGAAAGTGATCCACTTACCAATTAATGTTGTATTATGCATTGGACCCAAGTCGCAACTCAGTAAACTCATAAATTCACGACTTCAAATCGCGCTTTATCGTTGCGAGCGACAGAAGCGATTTATGAGGACGAGTAAATAATTGGCAAATAACACCGCCTGGTAATTAATAAAGTTTAGCCTAAGTTGATGGCAGGCGTATTGCCGATGCCATAAAAGCATTGCCATAAAACGCTCTCCGAGTTACACGAAAAGCATAAAAATTCATCCTGAAGAGCTTTCAATAAATTATCAAAGCCGAATGAGAATACTCGATGAGCAATTGAATATGCGATTTCTATGGTCATTAATCTTGTGCACCGATACGCTGCCTGCTAAACAGTTCCCAACTCGATTTCCAATTGCCATAGCTCCGCCAGCCAATTTGACTATGCAAATAGCTGGAGTTGAATGCTCTGTGTTTTGTGAGTTGCTCTTCAAGTGCTGCCAATTAACAAGCCCTAGACATCGTGTGTATATGTATGTATGTAGGTTTGCGAATCGATATTTACTCAATTAATTTATAACTTCCGCTAGCAGAGGGAGATAGCAAGCTGGAGGCAAAGCGACAGCGATTTTTCATTCATAAAAAAAGGCAAACGAAGCTGATGATGTCGCTGGCTGTCAGCGGGTTTTTCAAGCCAACTTGCCCGCTCTCTTCGGCACAGGAAGCAATCATCGTGCTACAAGTCATATTAACTTACGCTGGGCGCACAAAAAATAAGTGTACATATATATATACCCATCTGGAAAAAAGAAAAAAAAAATTCAGACGGACCCAGGAATCACGGCAAAAACAGAAGCAGCAGCTGGGAGCCGAGAGTTGGGAACTATGGAGAGTTGGGAAGATGGAACGATGGAAAGATGGGGTTGGATCCGATCTGGTCAGCATATGTTGTCCGGCAACTTTGCGCATGCGAAAGTTGCACTCGAAACTATCAATGAAGGAGGACCCAAACCGGACTTGACCCCCCCCCCCCCTCACCCCTCATGAAAACCCCTTTGTGGAGGGGCTACCAGTCGAAATGCGAGCAGGTGCACCACTTACCCACACTGGCAAACATTTCATAATGATGGATGGCCAACACAAACACACAGGCGCGCCTAAGCCGGTTTTGAAACAGCGTCAGTTGTTTGTATCTTTGTATTTTGTTTTTGCTTTTGTATTTTTTTTTTATTTCGTGTTTGCCTCAATTAAACTGCCAGGGACGTGGTCGAAAACCCACAAAAGTGTACGGTAACTTTTGGCCCAAAAAGAAAAAGAAGACAGCGAGATACTCGTGAAAACTGAATTAATAACCACGGCCGTCAATGTGAGAATTATATCAATTTTCAGTTGCAGATGCCAAGAATGTAAAGTTAATATTTAGCACTAACGAACTTTTCATGGACTCTCCAAATAAGATGATTGATGGTTTTGGTCGGGGAGTTTATAGAATGACAATAACCGGGAGGCCGTATGAGTGATGAGGGTGTGAGAATACCAAATTGCTAGGGACAGGAGTTTTCGGAAACTGATGTTTTTGTATAGATAACATGGAAAAATACAAAGAGAAAAGGAGGTTTTTAATTGAAGTAAACGACTGTGAGATACCTAGTAATATAATAAAATATTTTGGATGATTGCCTGAGATTCTGATGATTAAAATTAAAAAAGTTAACCAACTTAATAGTGAGCACAATTATATATAATAACAACCACATGACACTAACCAATATACCCTCTTCCTGTTTGAGTACTCTGCATAAAAAGGCTTCATGAATTTAGAAGTTTTCCTTTTCAAAGGGAAGTAAGAGTAGGCAAGTAATCAATTTGTACCAAATGACAGAGACTCGAAGATCTTTCGATTGGTATTACCTATAGCTGGCGGCATTTTTGATTCGATTTGTGGCGGCTCCACGGCGGTGTTAATTTTGACAAATGAACATTTTGGTTGCTGGGCATGTAGAGCATGGGGCACATTGTGTGCCAGCTTATCTATAATTTACATGTTCTGACTAAACTGGGACTCCACACAAAGCACCATGTTGCGTTGTCTCTGCTTAATTACGGCCCATCGAGCTTGGCCTTTTGTGCTGCCTTTTGTCTTGGCCTCAAACTAATCAGCTCGCAGCCATTAATCTGGCATAGTGTCTAGTTTCGATGCAGCGGTATCTCGATTATCTAACTTTCAAGAGAGAAGTTGTGGCCGAGCGAACGTTATGCCCCAACAGTTTTTAAAACGCCGCCAGATAACTTGAATTTCTGGCTCTTTGGTGACGGTTGACGCTTGACTGGCTTTGTAGTTCTTTTTCGTTTCATTTCGTTTGTTTTTTTTGTCATGTTTAGCGGACACACTCAACCCCATTATGAGCCAAAAGTGCAAAATAAAATTGGTTTTTATGTCCACCCATTAAAATTTGTGTTGGCTTTCAAATGGGATCCGTTGACAATTGCAGCTATGTTTGATGTTTTTGGCCCGCATCTGTTCACACGGTGCCTACATAAATCTCGAAAAGTTAATGAACGCATCCTTGAAAAAAACAAACAATATATTCATACACAAATGTATGGGTATTACCGACATTTTGCCCGGCAATCAGCCGTCCATTAAGTTTTATAAAAACAAATGGGTGAACGAACAACGCAAAGTTTTGAGCTGCATACATAAATAAAATTAAACAAAAACTAACAAAAACAAAAAGAAAAGTTTAAGCCTGGCCCAAAGTGTGCGGGTGCCAAAACAAATAGCACAAAATACGATCGTTTATATGTTTATTGATTATACTTGCAAAGTATTTTGAA